GGCATGTTTTAGTATTTCAGGAATTTATATTATCTCAAACTTTTTTACTCATTACTTAACAGCCTGCTAAACCTAAGACTTTTCAGTGTGAGCTGTTTGGAAAAACTGGGAAATGTCAGGTTGCTTTCTTTGTCATCTGTGAATTAAGTGTGATAAGCAGGATATAATTTATGTTACGTTGCCTTGAACTGAGACGGCTGCAAGTTAAAACTGTGCAACTAAAACCTATATGTGAGTGTTTTGTAACACTACTAGCATCAATAGACAACATGTAAGTGTTTTACATAACTATGTGAGGAATATAACCATCTAAGGGGCAATAATGATTGTGTATGTGCATATCCACGTACCAAGAAGTTGCAAGATAAAGGTGGGATGTCCACCAAATGCACAAGGCTGGCTGTTGTAATGAAGTCAGGCAATGTTGAAAGTGGATGGGTTAAGGCCTGCTTTTGGGCAGTTGGTGTGCGGAAGTTGCGTAGAAACATCAAAGAAGAGGAAATGCAGAATAGAGGAGACAAATATAATCCAAAAGTAAAAACAAAAAACAAAAAACAAACAAACAAAAAACCCTCACCAAGTATTGACTGTTGCAGTAAGGGCAAGTGCTTCATTGTTGTGATTTAAAAACTTGTGCCTTCTCCTGAATAAAAGGCTCACAAAACTGACAGAGCACATTAAATCACCCTGTATGCCTGTATGTGTTTAGCCAAAAGCCAAGGAATGGCTAATCACCAACAAAGCAGTTAGACCACTTATAAGGCTCATAATAAACATTACAATTCATCGTTCACATGAAGTCAGTGGTGTTAGCTGCTGGTGCAGCTGGTGATCCTTGGCTTAGCTCCTTGCTAGGGGAGCAGAATCACAACCTTCAGCATGTAAAGATGTTAGATTAGCCTCAACATACTCACGGTGTTCTCTTGCTTTAAAACAGTTTAATGTAAGCGTTCCAGGTATGTGTTTACTGCTTTTCTTGTTAAATGACTGAATTACTGCTTGGGAATTTACATGCTTGCACAGGGAAGTTTTGTGCAGTGAAAATGTGGGCATCCTTTATCTGCTTTAAAGATGTGATCACTTTTTTTCTTACAAGTCTGTTACAAATAGAATATGGAGCAGTAACCTTTGCTCCCAAACGTAGGCAGTAATCTAATTTGAGCAGTGGAAGCTGACTTCTTGAGCATTTGGTGAAACTTCTAATCCTTCTGGAGAAATAATTGTGAGTTAATTAAGAGCCAGAATTCCACAAGGCTTATTAGCTGTCTAGCTGGATCTGAGAAGCAGGAGGTTGAACAGAGTTTAACTAAAATTTAGAACTATTAATTAGTCTCCTTTCTTTCTGTTCTCTTTTTTATTTTCCTGTTTTTGGTTTGTGTAGCACACTTTGAATGACCCGTGAGAAACTATTGTGTTTCTGACGTGATAGCTCCCAATTGTAAATGCTGTACTTTACTGGCTGTGAAAGAATAAAGCTTTAAAAGAGCTTGGCTTTCCTTAGATACAAGCTAGCTTGTTATAGAAGAAGAAATGAGAGAAAGTGGAAAATGCAGGCTGGCTAATCTTGTTAAATTGGCTGAGTAATGTTGCATTCAAGATTCCTGAACTCCATGCTGGAACACACAGATGCTTTAATAAACTTGAGCTTGTCTTGCTTTAGCAGTCTTTGCAGGGTTCAGAAAATGCTTGATACGCATATGGAAACTTATGTATGAAACTCTTCCTCATGGACATCACTTTTTATAGTTATGGGGATTTATGAGCATGCAAATGCTTTACTTCACTGATATGCACCCGGGCAAGGTCAGAGAGGGGAGAGTAGACCCTGAAACCCATGTTAGTATGTGAAAGTATTTTAGATGACATGCATAGAGATGTGAACTGTCTACTGGATTTTCATTTGAATATTATGATTAAATTCAGTTTGAAAGATGAGAGGGATGTCAGCATACGTATACTGTGATGCAGTACAAAATTCACTGGGATTCTGGTATGTTGCGAGACATTGAGTGAAACAGCTGCTGTTCTAGCTCAATAGCCCCTATACCCCCCAGTGAAATCATTTTGACCCTGCTGAGCAGGAGCAGTTTAAAGGTCTACTGTAGAAGACACAAGAATTCTATTCATTAATTAGACTTGTCAGAGTCTGCTTTGTGTTTGCAACAATGAATACAGTTTCATTCCAGGGGTGTAGTTAACCCCTTTAGTTAACTTGGTTTCCGGCTCTGTTCCTCATGTTTAATGCCTCACCTTTATGTGCTGTGTTCTTATAATCACTGAAATAATGTTTATATTTTACTTTTCAATTTATAGTATGTTTTGGCTAAGACATTTGCATTCATATGAATACTTCAAAGCTGGATCATAGTATTTGCCTAATACAGGCACTGCAAAACAATATATATTTGAATTAATGATTGTGGTAATCCAACTGGTTTAATACAATATGATTATTCTGGTTTTTTTTTTTTTTTTTTTAGTTCACATCTGCAGGAGAAGGCAAAGTGGGAAAGGGAAGTGGAGTAAGTGCAGTGCAGCTAGCCCTTGAATTATAAATGGAAGAGTTACTCAGATATGTAAAAGCATCCCAATTGCTCAGGTTAGCTCAGCTTTGTAAAAGCATGATAGCCATACTACTCTTATTGTCCCCAAGCTCTTGGGTGTGATTTCTTCCTTTACTTTTAGCTATCTTTCCACTTTTAAAAAATACTTTTTTTTTTTTTGTTGAAGATAGCCTAAGTATATCTCTAATCTAAATATGAGGAGCAGATGAAACGGTAGTGTGCCTGACCTTCACTGTGAGATTCTAGGTATGCATGAATGAGAATCCTAAAAGCTCTGTGAAAACGTGCAGTTCTTTTTGGCGGTGTTTGAATTGCTTCCAGTGCTAAATCTTGGGTTGGCTTCTTGTTGCTATGCTAGTTTTCTGTCAAGTGTAGTGCACAGCTTTCTGATCTGAGAGCCAGTTGGCAAGAGTTGCTTGCTTAGAACGTTACTAAATCCTTTTAATTTCATTTTAAAGTTGAAGGATTGTTTTACAAACCGTTGTTCTTAGACTTCAGGCTCTAAATAGTGCTGTTTTGGTCCACTGAATGGTCTTCTTCGATAGAGAAGTGTTTTATTACCAGATTGTCTTTAGATGATTGACTTAAAGAACGTGCTCTTTGGATGGGAAAGGTTCAGATCTTAAGTGGAGCTGCCCAGCCCTGTTTGCTTGGGAAACATCATAGTATAAATGCTTTTTGTGCCTCCTGGACTTTAGAATCTCTCTGCATTGTTGCTATGTCCAAGATAGCATTTATTCCCAGTGCTCAGTTACAGCAAAGTAACTACAAGGAGAGATACCGCCTAATTTTGTCAGTTTAAGACAATATATACGCAGGGGCAATACATACTGATAAAAGCAGTTTTGGAAGAATGTGTCAACAGAGAGAACTCCACTGAATTTCACTGCTTTGAAGAAATAACTCAACTGGTACCCCTATAAAAAGTATGAACTAGAGATTGTTCAGAAGCAGCTAGTTATTTTAAAAGACTATAACAGAAGATTAATAACACTGTAAAGGGAAAAAAAATCCTTTTTTTTTTTTTTTCTTCAGAAATATATTAATAGCATAGTTACATTGTGTTGTAGAGCATCTTCTGGAACGTTGTCACTTGGCTGAGTAATAGAATCATAGAAAATATACAGCTGTCCACTAGGAGTTATACAAACGCGTATCTAAATTGTGGAGCTATATTGTAAAATCTTCATTTTTCTAGAGAAAGCCAAAATAGATGAATTCTTTTATTTTGTGGTCCCCTTTGTTGTAGGATAAACTTCACAAATTTGCTTAGCGGTGTCTGGTGGGTTTAGTGGAGGACTATGGAGAGCTGGATCAATTATGTAGGTATAGATTCACATATGTAGATGAAGAATCCACTTTGTATCCCAATTTCAGCTTCCTTTAGCAGTCTGGAGAGGAGTTCTATAAAAAGAACGTTTTAAAGCTGCACTTGATTCACTTCTGTAAAGTGCAGTGGGTAAAGGAACAGAAGGCTCACTTCCGAAATCTGGCATGTCCACTTTTGCCTACCAGAGTTAATTTCAAGTATGCCTTCAAAGAAAGTATTAACTGAAGAATCTAGGCCAACTGTGAGCATCCTATTCAGATCCAAAGACACTGACCTTATTTTCCTAGTCTTGATGTGTCATTAATTTGCTTGGGGATGTACCCTGTAATTCTCTTTGCTGAAGTAAGCTTGATTTCTGAATCTTTCCTGGCAAATCACAGGTGCCCTTAGAGGATGTAAGTTGTAAGGGCTGAATTTGTCTGCTCTTCAGGCAGAAAACAGTAATACCTGAAGTTTTACTGGGCAATGTTTATGTTTGGGTGGCAGCGTTACCCAAATAAGGAACGTGTACACATCTGAAGTGATGGCATCAGTTTTCTCAGTGTTTGAAAAAATGACAGCAGGCCCTTTCTGACATATACGAATTATCTTGGAAATGAAATCTGTGAACTGAAGAAGGAGATTAGCACATGGAATGGCACTTTTTTGTATAGCTGGGGTATAACCCAAACTGTAAATCTTACTGAAAAGAAATTGTACAAATCATTACAGGTTTCCAGTATTCACAGTAACTGAACCTGCGTGACCTAATGCTTTTTTATTTAAAAAAAAATTCTTGCAAGTTGTAGTCAAATGAATCATAAAACTGAAAATCCTGTATAAGTATTTACTTACTAATGGTTACGTGGCTTAAAGGCTTTAGGAAAAAAAAAATTGCTAATGTAATTCACAAATGCTTTGTACTGTAGTTGAAAATGCTATATCTACATCCTAGTTCAGATCTGATATCTGACAGATATATTTAGCCTTTGTGCCTTAATACTGCTGCATATGTATGTGTATATAATATTCAAAATATATTTTCAATGGAAATTGAATGTGATTTAATATCTGCATTAAAAGTGGGGATTCATGAATGATAAATTGTTCACCTTCCCTTCCTGACCTAGGAGATGAGCAGAAGAAAGCCAGTGATGATATGTTGTCAAGGTAAAATGACATTGTTTAGAAAAGGATAATATTTGGAGTTCCTGTTTCAATGAATAACATCAGTGCACTGTTCACCCCATCAGGCAGCTCTGAAAAACAAGCTTTCGGAAGGTCACAGGCTTGAGCTTGTAACCTTGCTGCCATTTGTCTGGTAAGATCTCTCTTCACTGTAAACCTGAATGCGTTTATTAGTATGGCAATAAAGAGTGTCTGAAGAGAATATTAAAATAGTCCCTACTGAGCCAGGAAGAAAATGTTGGTTTCTGAAAGTAGAGGAGCCCATAGACCTGTTGAAAGAAAAGGTCATTTTCAGAATATGAATGGTACTTTGGGAACCAAAAGGGGTACTCTTGTGAAAGAATAGGAGTTGTAAAGGAGAGGAAAAACATCTTCTATCCTTTGCTTCCACAGGGTCAAAACAGTGTTTAACAGTTCCCCTTTAACAAAAAGAGACAAATGCAAAACAAACAAACAAACAAAAAAAAACCTCACAAAAAAAACCCCAAAATACGTTGACTGTTTAAATAAAAAATAACAAAAAAGACAGACAGAGCTTGTAGAGACAGTGAACTTGGAGAAAGGCAGATAGGAGATTAAGCAATTATTTGCATTTATATCGAGTGGTCTTGGAATCCACTAAGGCTATTTTTGGCTTCGGCTTCTTGAATTGGGGAAGAAAAGGCACCCCACTTGCTCTCTATTTTAGGACTGTAACTTAAAATTGCAGTGGAGAGGTACATGTGTTGTGTCCAATTTACTTTAATAGGACTTTGAAGTTTTAGACATCTGGTCTTATGCTGTCAGTGGCAGGAAAAAGCTCATAGCTGCTCTCTGGAAGCTATTAAGTTGCCAAGGACAAAGTACAGGCTGTGTTCTGTCTATTTATCTGTTTATATCAATTTATATGTAATCTGTAAGTTTGCAAGGGAAGTTATCTGGCTATATATGTGGATCTCAAATTGATATGTTTAGAGCAAAAGAAAACAAGGGTCCTCCTTTATCACCGTATAGAGGTAGCATAAGAGAACAGCTCGGATGTGGTTGCATGTTCCTATAAAGCATCTGAGATCTAATTTCATATATCTGCTTCAATGCAGTAAGCAAGGGAAAAACCTACCAGGAAACCAAACCAAAGGAAACGTTTTTCTTAAATCTGGGCTAAGCTGGATCACAATTTAAAGTACAGCAAAAAGCATGACTGAATTCAGTTTTTACAGGTGTATGAGGAAGACCTAAAAGACAATTTGGGCCCAAATGACAAGGTGGTTTTTTTCCTTAAGCAATGCTTAAAATCAGAGGCAATGAGAAAGACTTAGTGAAACTTGGGAAGTGGGCACTTAGTTCTTCCTCTGAGAAATTCATTGGTAAGTGAAGTTAGAGGGTATGCTGATATCTGCTTCTCTAGATGTATCTAAATTGAAAAGAATAGGCAAACCTCTAGAGTATGTTGGTTTGGTTCCGTTAGTTCTCCTTGCAGAAAATCAGTGAATTGAAGATATATGCTAGCTGAATCGCTTCACTTTTGTCTACATTTCTTTGTATGCAGGTGAACAACCTGCCATTGTTTGTACAACTCTTACAAGACTCAGTTCCTTTAGATGTATTGATATTGCTAGAAAGCAGTGTACAATGACCTTGAGGTATTGAAGCAGTTTTGTGTTATGTTTCAGTTCATTTTATGTTGATAAATGCAATTGCTTCCAATGAGAAAGACAGTGCTCAAGTTAAACAAATGCTGCCGAGGTGGGTGGGCTCTGAAGGTGCTTCCTCTGCTTCCATGGATACAGGTCATGCAGAATTAGGCGGTCTCACCCACACTCTGTGGAAGATCAGCAAGTTTCAATTTTTCCTTGAAATGTAAATGATTAGCATCTCAGCTACTTGAATAAAACCAAGCAGATCAGAGCTGGCATAGAGCTGGGTTCTCCCTAACCTGTCTTCTGAAGAGTGCCCTTTTTGTTTCATATCTTCCTATCAATATACCTTCTCTTTCTGCCTTGTCTTGATTTATCCTTTCTAAACTTGTCAGTGAAACCTGACAGCCCTGAAAAAGCTTTCATTTGTTAGTAGGTTTTTGTGGGCACATTAGACATAAAAAGGTCACTCTAACACAGATTTGCTGTTCTGCATCTGAGCTTTATATGCTGTCTTGGTTCCAGAATTTTATGTAAATGAGTTAGGATAGTATATTTATTACCGGGGAAAAGACAGAGCAATCAATTTTAAAAAAAGCAAATGGTGCTGTGCTCAATCACATATTTTCCTGCTTAAAAATAGCAAGTCAAGTGCTGGAAGTTGCTGAAAGCTTTCAGTCTTCGCTATTAAATTAGGATTTCACTTTGAGTGATTCCTAGGATTGTTTCTCTGATTTAACCTACTGAAGTATGTCTTCTTGTACTTAATTGTGTTGTTATACAGTAAAATACCTAAATTGCTCTTTTTTCCTGTGGAAACAGTGCTCAATATTGCTGAAATTGGCAATGTTATAGTAAAAACTGTGAAATTAGATTACAAGAGATTTTTTTTTCTCTCCAGGAGTTGTTTGTAGTACATCCTGCAAGAAATCACGCCTGCTGTCCTATTAGCTTTAACACAAATTGTTTGGTATGTAAGAAAACCAGCTGACTGGTCCGAAGGAATTCTAGAACAGTGCTTCTATGTTATGTATTAGCAGTAATGTTCATATGCATATGTATTTTCTGTTGAAGGCTTTAGTGTTAATTTTTAGGTTTCATTTCTAATCGGTTACAATGATTTTTTTATTCTAAAAATAGTGGATTTTACACATAATTTTACACGTAATAATTCATGGAAAATACGTGACCTTCATCACCCTAATTCTGTTTATTGTTGTTTAGTAATGACAATGGATCTTCAGTCACCTATGCCATATCTATCTGGCTGTATACTCCTAAAAAAAGTAAACGTCTTGCAGAAGGCCTGGTGTTGCCACAGAAAAAGGTGTGCAGGTGATTTTTTTTTTTTTTTTTAAAGTGTAGAACATCTTGGGTTGGATGGGACTTCAAAGATAAGCTAGTTCCAATGCCCTGCCGTTGGCAGGCTTGCCACCCACTAAACCAGGCTCCAGATCAGGGTGTCCAGGGTCCCATTCAGCCAGGACTTAAACACAGGTGGGACATTCATTACTTTTCCAGGCAACTTGTTCCAATGCCTCACCATCCTCTGAGTGGGGAAAAAAATTCCCCCTAATCTAAATAATTTAAGTTTTCAATTTAAAGCCATTTTGCCTTGTCCTATCACATTCAAGCCCTGTAAAAGGGTGGTCTCTGTCTAAATGCCCTTTGAGTTCTGGATGATTTAGTTGTTGCTGAGTGATGTCTACGCAGTGCCAAGGACTTTTCAGCTTTTTGTGCTGCTCTGCTAACAGTGAGCTAGGGGTACATGGTAAGGTGGGAAGGGGCAGAACCAAGACTGCTGACCCCAACTGGCTAGTGGGATATCCCATTTAATGTGGAATTATGCACAACAATTAAAAACATGGGGGAGTTGGCTGGCAGGACTGCTGACTGGGGACTGGCTGGGCACTGATTCTCTCACATATCACTGCACTGTGTATCACCTGTTTGTGTTTTTTATTCATTTTTTTTTTTCCTTTTCTTTCCTATCTACTGGTTTTGTCACAACCCATGAGTCCTACCTTTATTTTTTTCTCTTTTTCCCCCCTCCTGTTTCTGTTTCCAATCCCACTGGAGCCAAGAGAGTGAGTAGGTAACTGTATATTGCTTATCTGTCTGCCAGGTTCAATCCAAAAAAGTATCAATTACACCTTTTCTGGAAATTCATCCAGTCTTTTTGCTATTCTTCCATTAACCTATTACCTCAGAATCTCTCACTAGACCAGGCTGCTCAAAACCCCATCCAGCCTGGCTTTGAATTCTTCCAGAGACAGGACATCCACAACCTCTCCTGGCAACCTGTTCCAGTGTCTCACCACCTTCATGGTGACGAAGGTGACTTCATGGTGACTTCCTAACATCTAGTCTGAATTCTACCGTCTTTGAGTTAAAAGATATTTCTTCTTGTTCTGTTTCTACCTGCTCTTATAAGAAGTCCCTTCCCAGCTTTCCTATAGGCCCCTTTATGTACTGGAAGGCTGCTGTGAAGACCCCTTGGAGTTTTCTCCTCTCCAGGCTGAAAAGCCCCAGCTCTATCAGCCTGTCCTTGCAGGAACGGTGCTCCAGTCCTCTGATCATCATTGTGGCCGTCCTCTGGACCCACTCGAACACATGTTTTTCTTTTGCTAGGGGCCCAAAATCTGGATGCAGTCCTGCAGATGGGGTCCCATGAGAGCTGAGTAGAGGGGCAGGATCACCTCCCCCGACCTACTATTGGTCTGAAACTATTTAAACTAATATCTCTTGTTTTCTCTTAGGATTGTTAAACAATGGAAGAAAGCAAAGCATAATGTTGTGGTATTTGAACTGTGATGGCAAATATTAATATTTAAGAATATTTTGCATGGAGAAGACTTGATCTCATTTTCCTCTGATGTTGGTGTTTTGCTTCTCTAAATTTGACAGTGTAATTATGAAAAGAGCAGTAGTATAGAGACTGTGTTCACTTGGCAAAATTAGTTTGGATTGAGAATCTTATTTAAAGTAACAGCAAACAAAACAGTAATGAAACTGTAATGTGGAACTCTAAGGGAACCAGTTAAAATGAGGAAAGCAATCTTTTGTTTCTTTTTAAAATAGAGTAGTGTCTCCTATTGATTTGCAGTCAGGTGCCAGACGTTATTACCACTAAAATATATCCCAAGTAGAAATCAATGCACACATACTATAGTACATTAATTACTATGTTTTTTTTGTTCCCCATCTAGGTACTTAGTGATTCTGTATTAGGGCTTCAAATGATGAAAATGTGATGAACTTTCCTACTTTAATATGTCATAACATTGCTTTACAAGTAGAACTAACTGGCTGACGACTTCAAATTTTCTGTCAAGTGATGCTGTGATCATTGCTTACCAGTTTTTGAAATCATTCACCTCCTTCTAGGATACATTTTACAGTATTTAGAAAGAATCTTTACAGGATTAGCGGAACATGCATGTATCTGAATCAAGGAGCTACTCCATTTCCATTTAAAAAAAATGCACTTTGAATATTTTAAAGCTGTTTATGTGCT